CTCCCGCTGCGTGCGAATGAATGTTGGTGGTGGTGGTGGTGGTGCTGGTGGTGGTGGTGGTCGTGGTTGCTGCTGCCGCTGCTGTTGTTGTTATTGCTTCGTCGTCATCTTCGTTGTTGGGGAGGCGGCATGCAACTGCCTTCATGAACTCTTTGCTGGATATCCTGGACGACGATGAGGCTATGAGAAGCGAGCCGGGTTTCTACTTTTCCGCGGTGTTTCGGTTCTCTCCATCCCCATGGCTCATCTTCCGGTCAGCTGTAGAGGCCACAGAGATCAGTGTGCCTGACGAGCTTGCTGACGTGATGGGGGCATTCCAGGAGACGGCCGCATCGCTTGGCCGTCCGGAGAGGTTTGCTCCCCAAGCCTCCAGTATGCCTCGGCGTCACAGGACACACTGCGCGGATTGATTTGCCTCGGCCGACTCTTGGAACTGGAGGAGTGTGCTGCTTGGCTCCTGCTCGCTTGATGGAGTGCTTTTCTCGGAGCACCGTGAGCTCCCAGGCGTTGGAACTTCGAGCCAAGGGACTGCTTTGATGCAAAACTTTTTCGAATGCTACTCGCCGGGGCCCCACCTCAAAAGCCCAAGGTGCTCGCAACGCACTTGGTGTCTGCTCAGGCCCGAAGCTGTCGCACTGGCCTGCGAAGCCTCGGCCGCGGAGGGAGAGGAGGCCGAGGCCGGGGGCAAATTTGCGGCTCCACTTGGACTCTGGGTTCGGACTTGTTCGGCTATGTTGATGTTCGGCTTACCGTCAGGGACGGGGGTGTCCTTGGCCGCGACGAGGGCATCCCGTTTGGCACGGTTGCTAGCGAATGTTCAGACCTCATCGTGTGTTGTCAGCCTTTACTTCAGCGCGATATAATGCACAACTGAAAGGTCACGCCTCTGATGGACGACACCGAAAGCGAGCGGTCCGAGAAGCTTTCGGAATTGAAGGCTAGAGAGGAGGAGCCGCTCAACATCTGATGGGCCATCATGTCAACTGTTGGCGGAAACAAGCACATTTAAACCAACAGCGAAAGTCGAGGCTACTGGTAGCGAAGAAGTCCACGAATGCGAGAAACACGCACTGAGAAACAACTCTGTACACCATGTCGGCAAGGGTTTGCATATCTGCAATCAAATCTTGCTGCGCCGGTGTCCTGCACGTGGCATGGTCTGTTAACCTTCTTGCCGACCGCTGCGTTTCGTCTCAGAAGGGATCAAAGGATCCCGTGCTTACTGAACCTGCTCTGTTCTGAGTGCTTGTGGAATCTGCCATTGTTAGCATTCGGACCTTTTCAACGGCTTCCGGATTCCCAGCCTCCGAGGTTTCATGAAAGCCGATACCCGCCGGCATGTCCATCCAACTCGACGACAATGCATGGCATAAACTCCTTTGGGGCTCCGCTATTCGTCAAAATCAGTTGAAGAGTGCTGCTGATGTGTGGCTCACCTGCAAGCCAACACTCTGACGGTCTGAGGTCTATGTGGTGGGAATCATCGGTTCGTTGTGGGTCTATGGTTTGCAGCAGGAGCGTATCATGTCCGTGCCATACGGCGACGACATGTTCAAGACATCCGTGCTGCTTTGTCTAAAAAAAGAATCGTAGGGTTTGCAGCAGAGAGAAGGAAGGCAAGCTAACTCCTGTAGTTAGACCGAGGAGGGATGCGAAGGAGGGTCCAGATCTTCTTTCGGGTTCCGTAGATGCTGATTCGGCCGAGGGCTCCATGGGCGCACAGCATCCCTTACCCAAGTCACCGAGTAAACGATGTAACAAAAACTTGTGAAGAGCCGTGGAAACCAGTGCAGAGGCACAGGACGTAACAGAAACCAGGCCCCGCAAGTTGGGGAGCCAAACCGCAACACCAGCTACCGGAGCTTCATTGTCCTACTTGCTGCCGAGACTTTGCCTTGCTTCTTTGTCAGTACTGCTATCTAGAGAAATAGAGTTTGAAGGGTTAAGGCCTTTGGTTGTTGGTTTCACGGTCTCCGGTTTCTGGTTCTGGCTTCCTGGTTTGCGCACAGATCTCCTTCGGTTTCCCTTACTACGGCGTCCGCTTGCAACGCTTGCAACCCAGTAGGTTACTTGCCAGCCACCTGAGGTTTCTCGTCTTCTGCAACCGGTTCTGTGCTATCTGGCTGCTTGGCCGCTGCTGGTGCTGCAACACCATCCAACTGTCGTCTTCTAGATGCCCTGAGATTCTTGAAGGTTCGCCTTTGCGATGGCCAAAATTCGTCAAGAAGAGTGGACGTTAAAGGCCCCACTGGTTTATTACCTGATTGTGCACCTTGGCTTGTTTGCAAGGCTTGGTCGTCAAGCGGTCGGGTCCTAGTTGGACGTGCCTGCCGACCAGAGGTCCTTATCCAACGTCTTTGCTTCAACATGCCAGTACGAAGCTTTGAAGTATGCACCATGGCAGCTGTGGACGGCAGGTGCTGCAGTTTCTGTGGCCTCGTGCTTGCACTTTCTTTTTTGAGGTATCTTTCCCGGTTCAGATGCTGGGTAAGAGCTTCAAGATGATGCCGGTGATGCTCTGGGGCATTGTCATCTCGCGACCAGACTTCAAGAGAAGGGCTGCGATCTGCAGGGCTGCGATCTGCATTCCTAGGTCCAAGAGCTACACAGCCAAGGCCGCGGTTAAGTTTGCAAGTCCAGTTGAGATGAGCGCCGTGCTGTAGCACGAGTCCTGCAAGCAGGAGTGGGGTGTCGCCTTCTTCGTGACCTGGGGAGTGACGCAGTTCTTGCTCACCGGACCAATTGCGACACAATCTGGCGAGAACGACGACCACACCAGCAACAGCGTCAAAGGCGAATCACATGTTGCGCACGTTGTAATTCATATTTTTTTGGTTCATGTCCAGAGTCCTGCACTGGCACAGTCTTGTGTCTTCAGGCGCCTGTTGCCCTGTTTTCTCCAGGGCTGAGGAAGGTGTCAGGGTCAATGAGACTTGCCAGGGCTGCTTCTGCTGGTTCTCTTCCTCGCACTGGACGGAATCACCTCGCCGATGCAAGAAAAGCTTTTCAAGGAATACCAGCTGTCAAAGCCCGGCGCCCAACGCACAAAGACCACGTGAGGGACGATGACCGGCTGTCAGAATATCGATCGTGTCTGCTGAGGTACAACCAACTACTGTGGGTCAACACCTTCTCTGCGATTGTTTCCATGACCACGCTTCTGAGTCGACGTCTTGGCACATGACTTGCACACTGCTGCCTGAAGCCTGTGAGAGCACTGGTTTCATGCTGCTTGTTGACCAAGCCACTGGTGGATTGGGCGATGCTTTGAGCTTCGTCCGCGCACATCCGCCGCTGCTTGGAGATGCTATGACACTCAGCGTCTCGCAGGCACCCGCTCGAACATTCCGGGTTCCGCGCGGAAATTTTTGAACTGTTAGGACACGTGTAGCGGCACAGGTTTGTCATGGTGCCTGGACAGGTTGCAAGTCAGTGGTTCATCACCTCGTGTCTGAATTGCATCTGGGAGAGACGTGCGCTAATGTGCGCTTCATCCAAGTAACGTAAAATAGGAGCATGCGCGGAGTGGTTCGCTGCATGAGGCAGATCAAGGACTTTGGCGCGCTGGTATTTGCTGCTACGATGAATGTTCGACAGCTGTGCCTGTGTCGAATTGCTGTGAGTGATTTTGGCGGAATGTGTGGGATAGCGGTCCTGCCAGGGTGTCCATCATCACCTCCTACATCAAGTACGGCCACTACATCACCGGCTTGCAAGTGTTGGCGCTGGGCTTCGTCTTTGCGGCACTCTTCTACAAGAGCTGCCTGAGCCTGCATATCTGGAGAGCCTCCGAGAGCCGCCGTGCCCTGCCCCTGCACTGCCGGGATCTGCTGCAGGTTACGACGGCCTCGTCTCAGAGAGCCCTGAGAAAAAGGCCGAAAAGGCTCCTCTGGTGCCCAAGGAGAGCGACTTGGCTGCCATTGACCTCGACGCACCGGCCGGTTCCTCTCTATAGCGCTGTTACTTCGCGTCACTTCGCACCGAGGAGAAGGTGAGCCGCCGGAGGCTTCCAAGGACTCTCAAAACTGCGGATGTTCGCTCACTTCATGATGTTTGCGTGCAGGACTCGAAGCTGTCAGCGTAAGCTCGACTTCTTAAAGATTCCAGTGATGGCGAGATACTGTTCTCCGTTGCTTTGAAAGCAGTGCACGAGTGTATAATCATTGGTGACGCATGTTCATGTACATGCAGTTTCGGTAACAGACACGGCGGCCGACTTCGTGACTTGAGCGAAAAATGGAGAGTGTGCATTGCTCGTTCAGCTTCTGGACCAGTAAGTTTGACTGAAGCGGACGAAGAAAAAAGTAGTTGCTAAGTCATCTGCAGTTTCAGCATCTGTAGCATCATCGCACGTTGCCTCCTAGCGTGGAGAGAGCCGGTATAGATAGCTGATAGCTTCAGGGTGAGTTTACCAAGGGTCTTCTGTGCTCACTCCGTTCAAGATGGTCGCGGAAATGGTTTCGAGAAAGCAACTGTTTTTTCGCGCAGGAAATCGTCGAGGAAAATGTTCTTGAGGATGAGGTGCAGGAGAGGGGAGCCTGCATCAAATTCTCGCTGGTTCCGTGTATGGAAGACTGCCAGCCAGGAGCCTGCTCCTCGGTTCTCGGCTTCTGCATGGAGAGAACGGGCGATGCCAGATCCAAGTGGCCCTGTTCGCATGGTGAGGGAAAGCTATGGGTTCGAAAGTCCACGGGCAGTAGAATTCAGAAAGCCGTTCGTTTTCCCACGCAGTGAGGTCGTACTCTCTGGCCCTCCTCAGTACCCGAGCTGCCGATCTTCACTGCCTTCGTATCCTCATGTCATGTAGGCTTTTCGTTCTAAGGTGGAGCCGAAGAGTCCCAAGACAGCGGTGTGCATATGGACGGGGTGTGTTCGGAGAGGACCAGCGATGAGCCGCTTGTGGAAGAATGCAACGCTGGGGCCGCTGTGGTCCGGGAACTAGAAGAGCTGAGCGATACAGAGGAGTCAGCGTCAAAGGTGCCACCGTCGCAGCAGGGAAAGCCCACGACTGACGACACATACAATACAACGGCAAACGATCTCACAAAGCCGGCGATGGCATGGGCTGCAGAAAGCAAACTTCCGATGCAAGACTCCGCGGCAAGCAAAGTGAGTGGAAGGGAAGCACCAGCAAATCTG